CCCTCAATATTTGTAACGCTTTTCTTCCGTTGTCCGCTGCTTCTCTCATGATCAGTGAAAGGCTTTTTATCGTCCAGTACCTGGATCAATTCCGCATAGGCTTCTTCGTTTTTCTGATCATCAGCCTCATCCTCTTCACCTGGCTCCTCTAGGATGGCAGCCTTCAATCCTAGCAGTCGCAGATGACCCAAAAACTTTGTCTCCCATAACTCGTAGTTCTTCTCATCTCCGTCGAAACACAAACGGTTCCACCGGCTTCCATAGTCCCTCCTGGGCCCATAACCTGTTAGCGATGCCATGATCTTAGGGCAGGAATACCGTGAACATAGTTAACGTGACAGAGGAATACATACACCATCAGCTGTGCTTCAAACGGAAGTGACACGTTTTATTGCGCATGTCCCTTTTATCACGGGAATACAGGAAGTGATTAGTATAAGAGTATTAAATAAACAGAATTCATATATTACATTTCATAATTCAACAGATTTTAAGATATTTTCATAGTTCATACAATCATACGTATTGGGATCATTTGTATTAATGTGGACCGGAGGGAGAGGGTGATGAGCATAAATTTCACTTTCCTTTTTTATTTCAATTCCAACTTTGGTCATGAAGAATATGTTTCTCTGTTGTCCACGTTCATAAAGCATAAAACAACAGCATCAGAGCACGGTGCAGAGTCTCTAGATGAGTTTACAGTAGTCCCTCGTTCTTATTAAACATCCATGTTGTAGTCCGCTGTATAGAAAACTGTAGTTTCCATAGTTTCTCCACAGCAGCAGACGGAGATTAGGAGATAGGGTTAGAATTTAGGAGCTGATTTTTGGATTATCGGAACGCAACCCTGATCTCTGTAGATAAATAAAGAACTACGATAGATGTGTAATATGTAATGCAGCCAAACCATTTATTACAATGCATTCATGTGATGACTTTCAAAGAGTAAAGCAAGCACTGCTGAATAAAGTATGATTTTATCTTTTACGAAACGTTTTTGTATATGGAATGCAGTTGGAGGTCAACCAATCACAGAGCTTGAGGACTGATTACGGGGTTTGTCAAGCTAAGCACATGGTGTAGTCCCAAACGATAGCTGATGATTCTGGGTAGTGTAGTGTCTTCTGTCATCCAAAAACTCCGAACAAATATTCGTTTCTCCGAATCGAAGGGGAAAAATACAAAAGCATTGTACACAATTTAAACCAATCAATGTTGTGTAATTAACAAGGATAATTTGGTGTTTTTGAGTTGATGAGTAGTGCAGATATCACTGTAAAATCAATCGACAGTAAGGAGAATACTTACTTCCGGGTGTAAAATTCTCCGTTATCCAATGGGAATGGACGCTCGTAATACAATAAAGGGGACATGATCATTATCTTTTAAATAACGTTAACTAAAGGGAACAATCTATTTGACACAGCTGAAGCTCTGGCCTTCCTTAAAAACTAACTAATTTAATAAAAATCACAGTTGTATTACACACAATGCACTGTTTTTTGAGAACAACAATTCGTAACTAATGTAATTTTTACATTCTGACGAAAAATAAAAATCATTATGAATACAAATAAAATAAAAGAAGCCTCCTGTGAGCTAGCTATAAAGTAGATTTTAAAAACGTTTTATAGAATAAAAGCTCACTACGGGACGTTGTAGAAATGCGTGTGTGCACCACGACAAAAGAGCCTAATTCACTTTACATTGGGGTTTTTTGCGTGGTGCGGACACGTAAATGTAGCAGACTGCGTGACTCCACCACGCAATGCGGTGTTAATGAGTCGTGGTGGAGTCACGCATTCTGGTGAGATCAGGTTGACCATATCTACCTTCATACATTCTACGTACATGCCTTGCAGCAGACATCTTCACTATCATGGTTGTTTTTTTTCTTCTTTTAACTGGAAGAAAAATGTGTTCCTTGTTGTAACGCACAGGGGAACCGTACACCCAGACTCAGAAGCTGCTGTAGTCAGTTGTGATATCACTTAGATTATGTTTTCATATTATTACTAATGAGAATACTTGGGGAAATGATCAGTGCATGTAGACTTCCAATCTGTTGTGTACCGTCAAAAGTGCTAAGTCAGTCATGTTTCATGTTGTTGTTGGTCATTCTTGTATTGTCTTTCACTTCCTGTTTTGTTTAGACACTAACTTGTTACGTCTCATCCCAGGTTCCTTGACTCCCTTCTCTAGTGTGTTTCTCCCGCGTTCATCAGCACCAGCCCCGCCCCTGATTGTTTTCACCTGTGCCCACCCAGTTATCTCCCCAGTTTCCCTTTGTTTGTGTCAGTTCGTCTTGTCCTGTCCTCATGCCAGAACTCTGCTCATCAGACAGCTGTTTGCAGAGAAATCCTTAGATCAAACGTTCCAACCGAAACGCTGTAGGCTACAAGAATGTAGCCACGGTACTCTAGCGCAGCGAGAAGATGAAAGGAACAGATCCTCTGATGACACCGGCTTTTGTTGTGTAAATGTTAGTGTTTTATTGTTTTCACCAAATCCGTCATGAGATGCAGCAAAAAAGAAAAGAGATGGGCAGGCAACATGTGACATCAGTCGGTATCCCCCTGATATATTGAACATTAACAATGGAAGATGCATCTAATGCAAACATGTTGAATGCCTATAAATCTCAATTGGTTCATCAATGACCAGTTCTCAGAAGTTGATGACTTTTAGTAGCAGTAGGAATTTATTTGACCTAACTTGTGTGCAACTATTTCATAACAAGCAGAGGAAGTACCTGTGACAATATTACTGATATATCCTCACATTCATTTTGATAAAACAAATAAACATTAAGATAATCCTGCTGTAATTAACTAACAATCACAGAAACTGTCTCTCTGTCGTTAAAAAAACCCGCTATGGAAATAAACTGTCGATCACTGAATAATCTGAGAATAATTTACTATCCTTTGCCATTTTCCAGAGACAGAAAGGTAATACATACAAATGCACTGGGTAACTCCATTTTGGCTCAAAGGAGCTGTTTTAGTTTGTCACCAAAGGCATACAAGAGTTGAAGTTGAAAATGGTCTTTACATTAGACAGGGGTCGTCCGTTTACTCAATAATAGAAAGGAACAGGTTGGTAACCATTTGATTAAAGAAGTCTGTTCCTCCCATTGGACGTGGATAACTCTGGTTGGAAACATAAGTATCATTAATGATATAGCTGACTCTCCTTAAGTTTCCCATCAGAGAACTTGGACATTTAGACAAGATATTATTGAAAACATCAGGCAAAACTCAAATAATAATGGTCAGTCCTAATACACAAGTGTGTCCTTTATATTAAAGCCAGGTTTTTTTTTTTTAAAGGTCCCATGTCATGCTTTTCCGGTTAGTACCCGTCCCCTTGTGTGTTATGAAGGTTTTTATGCATGTAAACGGTGTGCAGAGTCAAAACCCTCAAAGTACACCCTGTAGCGAGTAAAACTCTAAAACAGAAAATACCTCCCTAAAACGCCTCGTTGGAGATACGTCATTGTCCATTTGATTCTTCCGGGTACGCATGATGTCAACCGTACCCGGAACGAAATGGACCAATCCGTGGAGCCGTTACGTTACGTCCGCGGAGCCGTTACGTTAAACCCCCGCTGATTTGTCCAAATTGACCAATCCACGGACTTCCTCACACACACACGCACACACTCAGTGCAGGCAGCTCTGCTGATTTCTCCTCCCTGCTGCAGGCTGATAACAGACAGTTGGGATCGCGGCGAAATTCTCTCTGCAGACCCATTCTCACAGCGTTTATCAACCTTTTTCTTACTCAATATCAAGCCACACTTATTATTTTTACTTCGGCTGTGACTTTGTGTGTGCCCAGGATGAGTTTGGCTGTGTTTCGCTGTGTATCGCTAAACAAGGAAACAACACCTCCACGGAGCTTAGCGCGATTCACAACGTCCCGACCAATCAGAGCACACTGTGCTCACAGGGAGGGTGGGGGCTGGAGCTATTGGAGCTACAACGAGCCGTTAAAGGCAGAGAGTGAAATTCAGTGAATACACGTAGTTTACAGAGATGCTGTATGAGAAACCAATGTGAGTTTGGAAAATTGCACAATATAAATCTATTCTAGTAGACCTCAACAATGGAATTATGATCAGTGGAAATGCTCATGACATGGGACCTTTAAATAAACGATGTATATCGCCTTGATAGAAGACATTTACGTTTTTGGCACCATCAGTTAGGATGGTTTGTCTGTGAAACTGTCTCCCATGTCACCCCCATACAATTCATACTTACCTGGCAGGGGGGTCTCCATGATCACTAAGGTGGATCCCCTACGGCGAGGCGCGGCCATTGCACTGACGGTTGCGCTGACCTGTACGAATCCCTCAAATGTAGGAATCTCGACTGCATAATTTGTGGTAGTGGGGGACTGCGTTCGCGCTCTCCCCTGATAATATGTACAAGTCAATATTAACGATGGAATAATTTGCAACCAACACAAGCAGATGGTTTGCACTGACTACAGCAACGCAAGTGGTTAATGATCAATGACTCATTTTAAGATCTTGATGACTTTTAATGGCAGCAGGAATGTATTCGACCTAACTGTGTGCAACTATTACTATTAATTATTAATATTACTTATATATCCTCTCATTCATTTTTGATAAAACACATTTACATCAAGAGAATCCTGCTGTAATCATCTAACTCTGTGTCTCTGTTGTTAATAGAACAGCTATGGATATAAACTGTCCGTCACTGAATAATCTGTGAATGATACACGAGCAAACGAGCGACGAAGTGATGGGGTAAAAACTCAGTTGACAGCGAAAAACACACGATTTGGGGGATTAATTACTCTGTATGTTTTATAAAAAGTCAAACCGGGAGGACAAAAGTCGATAGGAAGCATCATCGGAAGACAACGCAAGGGTTAAGAACAAGATCTGAGTATTTCCTCCCCTCTGGTGTTTGTCATCTCTTCGCACACTGAATATCTTTGTTTGTTTGACAGCTACAGGAGGACCTCTGCTGACGCATGCGCACATGCAACTTCAGATGTCAACCGAGACAACGGACAAACAGTTAGCGTTTGAGCTCGTATCGGAGGGAAGTAAAACATTATTTCACCTAAAGCTCCTCTAGCTCAAACAGCGTAATGAGGTAGAGAAGTCGGACAGATAATTAGACTTACCGTTATTACAATAGACTGGCATCGCCACGGTGAAAATGGACCAGGAGTGTGAAGACATAGATTCAGAGGGCCGGTGGCAGAAACTGTACCTGGTGAGTCTGTTAGCATTTAGCATGAAGCTAACGCCGATCAGACGCGCATTAACGGTAGCAAGATAACGGTTTGGCTAGCTAATCCAGTATCTGTTAACTAACAGTATTTTATTGCCAAATTCGGGGGAAAAAAGTATTATGTTATTGTTTGTTTAGTTTGTGTACAGACAAGGCAACGCTCTAATAAGATAAATGTTACCGTAAGCATAGGTTTAGTGTTATAAGCTGCTGCATGTGGTAATAATAGCCATAGGGGTGGAAGAAGTATTCAGATATAAGTAAAGGTAGCACTAATTACTTGTAGAAATACTCTACTACAAGTAAAAGTCCTGCATCCAAAACCTTACCTAAGTAAAAGTACAACATAATTGGCATCAAAGTACACTTTAAGAACCAAAAGTAAAAGTACTCGTTATGCCTAAAGCCCCTTTTTAGAATCCTATATATTAAATTACTGGACCAAAATGTGCAATACATTAATGACAAAATACTCTATTTCAAGTAAAAGTCCTACATTATTAAGTAAAAGTATATAAGTATTATCAGCAAAGTGTACTTATATATACTATGTATTGTATAGTATAAAAAGTACACTAATGCAGAAAATGTGATATATTATATTATATATATATATATATATATATATATGACATATATGTCTAATAATAACAAATACATAACAATTATTCCACTACTTACATTTTTAAAGATGCATTATTTAAAAAGGTTTAGCAAATGTTTCTTAATGCAACATCTGGAAAGAAACTAGAGCTGTTGTGGAGTAAAAGTATAAAGTTTCATTAAACAAATATACTTAAGCCCTTTTCAGGATAACATAAAATATAAATTCTTGTTTCTATTCTAAACAATCTTTCTTTTGTCTTCAGGAAATAAGGAATCAGTCCCACGAGTGCTCGTACAAAGTGGCAAAGTATCCAGAGAATCGCAACCGAAACAGATACAGAGATGTCAGTCCATGTATGTAAACATCGTGGAAACGTTTCTTTTACCCTTTAACAATGTCTGTCAATTTATAACCGATCACCAAACAGTCTTCTCTCTCACGCTGCCTGCAGTTGATCACAGTCGGGTGAAGCTGGAGAGCACAGACAACGACTACATCAATGCAAGTCTGGTGGTCATGGAGGAAGCCCAGAGAAGTTACATATTGACTCAGGCAAGTCCAAGGCTCTTTATTCAAGTACAAACAACCATGCAAGCAGGTCTATTATAAAAAAAACTCCAAGCAACAACACTAAAATGATGTCTTCAGAAGGTTGGATTGTCCATGCAATTGAGTCAGTTGTTTTGTGTTATCAGATCATTTGTGGCTTTGTTTTGAAATGATTCTGATCCTGATAGGAGCGCTTGTTTGGTTTAGCTAAATCCTTTATTAAGTGTCTGGATCACTGTATGATGTTAAATGCATGAGCAAGTGAGGTGTTATGCGAATAGAAAGTAAAGAAGATTTTAAGAAGGTGTGCTCTTATGGATTTTATGTCTTAATATGTATTTAAATGATCTATGAATCAGTGAGAAATAGCCTATTTCAATTTCAAAACATTAAACCAAGATCTATTATTATATAAAGAATTGAATATATTGAATATTTTTATAAACATGCAAGCCCAGAAAATAATTAAATGAAGGTTATTTCTTTATTTAATAATTGTTTTTATGTTGAGGTCATACTGTACAGTGTTTGGTACATAAGGTTTCTCTTTTTTAGAGTTATTTAAAACAGCTATCATTGCAGTTATACATTCATGTTTGAAAGGATATCCAGAGTACACATAACAGCAAAGAGTTAGATTGTTTCTATGTGAAATTGGTGTAATATACCAGACAACAACTAAGAAAATTGATTAATGATAATTCCTGATTTGAAAGCGGAGATAAATCAACATTAATGTCTAGTTTATTCTCTGTCCTTTGAACATTCCCGCCTACAGACAGGAACAAACAGTGGCCTTATTCACCGGGCCGTAGAGATGAGATTTATTATATGGTGTGTGGTGGCGTCTTGATCCTTGTCTACAATTTAATAGCCACCTCTATCGGGGTTGTGGGTTTTGACGCGCCTCTCTTTGTTTCCAAACAATTCAGCGGAGATCGTAGTTGAATCAGATGAGCTTTATTCACTGATCCACACGGTACATACAGGAGGACACATTTCTTCGCTTCATAGTAACTCAAAAGTGTATCATTTTCCAAAGTAACAAAAAGAACACAGTCAAAAGACTTTTCCGTTTCCCCGTCTATCACCCTCAGCTGTGTCCTATCAACCTACCATATATAGGCATAGCCATGCACGTGATACTGACGCACATATAACAAATAATAAGTGAGCCTTAAATGAATGCATTTTAAACCATAATGTGACTCACAAAAATAGTCGATAATTTACAGTATAATCTAATTTATATTATTATTAAGCCCAACATTCAGACAATAATAACAAAATGGCTCTAACAAGCAGAGAATAAAGCTATTGTATTACGTCAAACTTCATTAATCAGACGTCTGATGGCAAAACAGAAACCTCCAGGGCAGAATCTGTGTAAGGACGACCCTTGTTGGATGCTTTTTCCCTGAAGCAGAATGATCCGAGTCAGCTGCTTAACTGACATTTGGTTGTGCAATCGTAAATGAAAGCCTGTTATTGTAAAGAGAAATGCTTTCTTTAAGGGAGTTGTGTGCATAACACCACCATGCACTATGCAGTTGGGTTCAAATAATTGTATTTAACTCAAATCAGATTTTGACATAGAAACTGGTCACAATTAAATAACGTCACAGAGGGTTCGAAAACATACATTTGACCTTTTGGTCTAAAGCAGTGTAATTCTGATTTTGTGCTTTCTGAAGTGTTTTATTTATAGAAAGTGTTTCATTAGTGTTTCTGTGTGAAATATACTCTCCAATTAATTACAATTTGAGGGTACATGTGTATCTTTGCAATACTATGATAATTAACGACCAGTGCATGATGTCAAGTAATTCTTAAAGCCAAAGGGATCAGGGTATGAACGGACAAATAACCGCTTAACCTTTATCAAGTGTTGATTTTGGACCACAGAAAACTGCAGCTGATAAAACATATCCTTCCTCACCAAGTAATATGGCTCACTATGATTCAGTCATTTATAAATAACAAGACCTTGTGCAATTCAACAGTTTGCAAAATCCATCTTGACCATTACCTATCAGGTTTCTTTTGCATCATTGAAAATGTGAGATGAAAAACATTTGAGGTCATGTCCAATACATTCAAGATTCACTATCATGCAATAGGGAACCTTAAACACATTCGCAGCAGTATATTATGTATGACATCCAACAATGTGTAACTCTACATGATGGATTTGATTTGAATCCTATTATTGTCTTTGACAGTAACTTTACACTGTCCATGTTAGTTGCACAGATATCACATTATAAAGACATTCCTCAAATTGATGTTTGAATTTTTCTGAAGAAAATCAATTGAAATGATTTCCTAGAATCCAAGTGAACTAATTTCCTCCTGCCATGTGACTGATGAAAGTGTGTTTGTGTGTTATTTCTATCCACAGGGCCCCCTGAGGAACACCTGTGGCCACTTTTGGCTCATGATCTGGGAGCAGAAGACCAAAGCCATCGTCATGCTAAACCGCGTCATTGAGAAAGGCTCAGTAAGTATATCATATAATAATAAAAGAACATCCTATTGTCAGGTCAGTTGACATCTGTTCTTGGTCTGGTGCAACACACCCACACTGAAACACTGCAGGAACCACAAAAGACTAATCACACACACACACACACACACACACACACACACACACACACACACACACCACACACACACACACACACACACACACACACACACACACACACACACACACACACACACATCCACAGCATCACACACTTTGTTAAGAGCAGCCTTCTCACATAAAATCATTTTCACAACTTCTTTGATTAATCAGGGGGCATATTCCACATGTACACATATTTTGGGAAAACAGGGTTGAAGTAGAAGATTAACTGCATTTATGTGAAAAAATGTAAACGTCTCATGTTAGCGAGGTTAGCAGGAGTTATGTTTCGGTCTGACATTGCACAAAACGTTGCTTCATTTACGAAGCTAGATAACAGGGCACTCGTCACCCCCAAAGGGAGTTTTACTAAAGGTTTCAGAGACTTAAAAGGATGTTTTTGCACGGGCAAAGGCTTAAGAAAACCTGTATGTGTGGACTTTGCCTTGATTTCAGTTAAAGGTCCACTGTGAAGCTTCTCTCTCATAAGATAAGAGGAATTCAGTGTTTTGACAGTGTGTTCACAGATGTATGCGAGGAACTGGGATGCAGCCCAACCTCTCAACTAAATCCTGTGATCCTGTGATGTGCCGATTAAACACACACACACACACACTCACCGCTAGCAGCTTTGATCTGTTCCTTTCTCAGTAGAGCAGCTGGAGCGGATCTCGCTGGGTCATGAGATTCACTCCCCGACTGTTTTCTTGGAAATAGCAGAGAGAGTACCTAGTCCAAAGATATTATTAACCTCACTCACAAAGATGTTCGTGTAGGCCCGCAGAGGGGGGGGGGGGGGGGGGGGGGGGGGGGGGTTGTCCTCAACACTTCTGCACATTGTCTGCATACTAAGAACATGCTGTATAATGAAATCTTTGCTGTCGATAATATAGCATGAGAATGCATGATCAGTATTTTACAACTTAACTGACGGCTTTGCTGTTCCCTGGAAAACATTGAATGCACCACAAGATCACCAACTGTACTGGAATGTATCCCTGGTTCCTTGTAACTTCGTGTGAGCTTTGTTTCCATGACTGGTTTATTATAATAATACAACACATAAATAATAATGATGGTAATAAACTTGTTTTTTATAGCACATTTTATACTTATTTTGCTTTACAAAGCAAACAACTCTAAAAACAACTGTTAAACATTCTCCAAAAAGAGAAGAGATGTCAAATAATAACTTTTTAATAGTTGTGTATATATTCATATTAAAGGATAGAACCTGTCCCTTTTAAAATACATTCCTGATCCTTTCTTTAGTTATTAAAATACTTAAGAAATAAATATCTTAAAATCAAACATGAGAAAAAGTCACAGTTCAAATACATGCAGAATGCAAGGAGATATAATCTTGACTGAAGCGTATTTTAACTGGCTTTATTATTTTTGAATTAGTGCAGTGTGGTAAAACACAAAATGGGACACAAATTAGACAGGTGTTGCAAAACTCAAGATGACAAGGCTGTGAAACAACACTGTATGCAACATATTATGGCTGTGTAGTTGTGATTCTGTGCATGTGTGAAATGTTTTATGTAGGTGTCACATGTATGAGTGTGTCCAGGTATCTGTGGAGAGGGAGAAGAGGAAGCGGATGTTTTTCTAAGTGATATTTCTCCTTCCAAAGCTAGGATTAAACTGTCCTCCTGTTAGTCATCAGCTGCTTTGCCTCAAGGCCCCTCAACATCTGCTTCATGGCATACTTCATTGTCAGATGTGACTTTATTTAGTCTCTCTGACCACATGTCTCCTTTCTCCCCCGACAGGAGAAGTGCGCTCAGTACTGGCCCACAGCGGAGGAGAGGGAGATGGCCTTCAGAGACACACGCTTCCTGGTCACGCTGCTGTCGGAGGACATCAAGTCCTACTACACCACCCGAGTGTTGGAGCTGCAGAATATCAGTGTAGGTCAAAGTTTTGACTTTATTATCAGGGGGCATTTCACTTTATAGCTGTGAAGGAGAAGTGAAATGGTTTGAGGGTGTCACACCAAGACGCTTTACAAGGAAGTTTCACCCACTGTCTCTGCCACCTCCCTCCATGCCTGGCTCCTCCGGTTTGTATCCCGGTAAATAGTCTGGTCGTAAAGAACCGGGTGATTTGCTACCGTAATTTCTCGTTTGGAATATGAGGAAATGAACTGCGGTCTGGCTCTCCCTGCTTACACGCGGTTTGATTGGCTAGAGCTTCTACTGTCAGATTTGCATAAACAGGTTTGATTGGCTAACACTTCCAGCTCAGCTTCAAAAGTTGAACATTGCTCAACTTTTGAATCCTGAACATCCTGGAAATCCTGGAAATCTTCGCTTCGCTCCCCCACAATGCAGTTCGGCGACAAGCGAGGCAAAGTGACGTCATCCCCATTCAAAGTCAATGGGCAGAGAAGCGTTGGAAGCGGTGGAAGAATCGTCTAAAGCTGCTGTGTGGACGGGCCGTAAGAGTAAGAGAGGCTAAGATGTAGTGAGCAAAGATGGATGATTTAATTTTCAAAAGCTCTGATTTACCAAGGCTGACAACACTGTAGTTAAAATTCACAAACAAGATCAGTTCAAATGTTCACTTATTTTTTAGAGAGTACAAAAAAACAAGTTGTAATCCTGTTGTCTTCCTCTATGTATCGTAGTGTGTAGATGCTGTACTTGTTAAGTCAATGACAGCAATGTGGCTTTGTATTAACGGCTGATCATTTTTTGGGGATCATTTTTTTTATCAAAATCATTTATTTTGTTTCAAATATTTGTATTGAGAAGAAGCATAAAAGTGTAAGCAATAGTACAGACTCCTTTGGGGTGGAAATCACGCTTCCCTTTTTCAACATAGAAGACAAACATAACAGCCAACAAGAAATAATAAAGAAAAAACATAGCATGACAGGAATACCATACTTAATGACTTACATAGTGGGGAAGAACATACAACATAGTATATATAATACAAATAAATAAATAAACTTAAAGGGGACCTATCATGCAAAATGAACTTTTTGTGTCCCCGGTGTGTCGGGGAACTCACGCAGCGTCAGAAAATAAAACCCTTTCTCTTTTCCTCCGTACCCACATCTTTTAAAAACAGGGGTACAACGAGCGGATACAGATTTGCTGCTGATATTACGTAATTTCAGATGGTGGATCCACAGAGAGTTGCTATCAGAAACAATGCCTGACGTTTTGGACGTAATATGGTCTTTGTTTACATTAGCAAGCATCGCTAACACCCTAGCCTGTACTGGAGAGAGTATGTGTAAAAAAGCAGGAAATAAAAAAAGGAACTCACCCTATGGTAAACCTGCAAAAGAAGAAGCATTTGAGATCCATACTGTTTCAGAAATAATCCTTGATGTGGTTTAGAGCAGGATGGCGTTTTATCACAGCAAAATGTAACTTTATCTCCGGTAGAATTCTGATCAGGCATTAGCTCCGCCTCCTCCTTTTTTTTTTCAAGCTAAGGACCCAAAATCCGCGTTTCTAAACAGGGCTGGAATAGAGGGATATGAGGGATGTCTAAAATGCATGATCTGTTTGTATTTTTAACAAAACACATCAAAGACATGTTTTTATATATTTGTATATATCTGAGACCCATAATATATGCCTAACAATAGCATGATAGGTGCACTTTAAAGGGTGCAGATGAGCCAAGACTACCCCTCCCCCCACCCTTCCCTCCCCGAGCGGTGCCACCCAAGCCATTAAAAAATGATTGTTTGTGCATCTCAGCTAACCGTCCCCCTTATAAATGAAACCATTGGACCCCACATCCTTTCAAATTCCCCCAGTCTATCTTTTAGGATATATCCAATTCTTTCCAAATGGTTCAATCCCCAATGCAGTCAGCATGCCGCTGTGTCCCTGGGCAAGACACATCACCCCAACCTGCTCCTGTGGGCGTTGATGCTTTGGATAAAAGCGTCTAACAAGTGACATTAATTGTAATCTTTGACACTCATTGTTATCTGATTTTACAGAAAGATTCAACTGAGTTGTATGTTCCCACGCACCAAACTATTTGCAGTTTGTAGGTTGTAGAGAAAGTGCAAACAAGCTGTAGATAATGCAGCAGAGCAATTCCAGTATGTAAAGTAATCAGCCTTTGCTTAAGCAACAATAGTTAACCTGCAAAATTGCATTTGAAAAATACGATTTTCAATTAAACCCAATGTTATGATTTTTTTCCAATACATTTTTTACCTGTTTTATATTAAAAACTGAACACCGTTTTTTAAAATATCAGCAACTAAGAGTTAACTGCCAATGTGATCGTAAGGAAAAAAAGCATGAACAAGAAGTAGATTCAAATGTTGTGGGGAGTTTTCAGAACACGGTTCCTCGCATGAATTGAAACTGAAACTGTTGGACTTGTTTGCTTAGTTTATCTCTCAAACCCTGGGATGGCTTCAAGTCACCTCAAACACACCGCCTACACATCAGCACTCACAGACTGCACATACAAATATGCTTTTCTACCTGCTAATGAAGCCTCTGTTTGTGTCCTCTCTCAGACGGGGGAGAAGAGAGAGATCTACCACTTTCACTACACCACGTGGCCAGATTTTGGTGTTCCAGACTCCCCGGCGTCTTTCTTAAACTTCCTCTTCAAAGTGCGGGAGTCGGGAGCGTTGGGGCGGGACCACGGACCGGCGGTGGTGCACTGCAGCGCTGGAATCGGACGCTCCGGGACATTTTCATTGGTTGACACGTGTGTGGTCCTCGTAAGTTCTCCATTTTTGTTGTATCATTATGTCTGTATTCTGATTAAAGAAAACAAAACGTTTGCTTTTTGCTACAATGATTTGAGTTTACATTTAGACATTGAGAGCCAACATTGACCCAATTAAATCCATTATGCTAAGTCTGATTAGCACTTATACTGTGGATAAATATATCAGTGTCCAGACAGTCAATGTAGATAATGTAAAGCCTTTGACTGAAATAAAAACATGAATTGAGGGCTGGTTAAAATTGTTGAAGTAACATTTTAAATAATCTGTACAGAGAGAGCTTCTGATAGATGGAAACGTTAATATAAATGTACTTTTTAGTGACTTTAACACCAAATGAAATTCTATGTTGTTCTCTTGCAATTACGTTTACATAGCAATACCATAGAAAAACCTATATGTATTGAACAGCCGTAATGTAGAAGTAGATAAACCAGATCAAAGAAAAACAGGGAACTAAAACATGTAATTTATAGCATTTTATTCCGAAACGGTTACACGTCACTCACTAACACAGACTGGCCATGTTTAACAGTGTGTCAGGTTTACATTTTCCTCTAAACACACACATGAAAGAGAACAGGGGGTTCAACCTGTCATTCTGTCCTGACCAGATGGACAAGAAGAAAGACCCCTCGTCAGTGGACATCAAAAGCACCTTGTTGGACATGAGGAAGCACCGCATGGGCCTGATCCAGACCCCGGACCAGCTGCGCTTCTCCTTCATGGCGGTGCTCGAAGGATCCAAGTGCATCAAGGGAGATTCCTCTGTACAGGTACCTCACTCAGTTCACTCGGTACTTAATGAGTAATATTGTTCAGTTTCCAGGACACTGCTGTATTTGGCTGTAGAGAAAAACAGAAATAATGACAGTTGGCCTGGCGATGGATATTTGTTTATTAAATACCCCACAGTTATTCCGTGTGTGGGTATGTTAGAGGAGTAGGGTTTTCCTAACAAATATTGACTCATACAGAAATAGTCTCTCTAAGTCATCACTTGTAAACCATTAGAAGTGTGTGGGACTGTTTGTTGTTTTTATTTCATATTAAACTGAATATCTTTGTTTTTTTACTGACAAAACAAGGAATTTAAAGACATCATCTTGGACAAGAAACACCTTTTAGTTATTTAGTTCAGGCCAATGACCTGAATGTCTGACAGTCGTGATTTGTTTGCAGTCGCAGTTTGTATGAAGCCATCTTGATCTTTGGCTTAATGTTCTCTTTTGCAGCAAAACATATTTTGTCTCGCTTTATACATTTTTGACAAGATTCTTTTACAAACAAAATGTCCAAATATAGGCTGTTTTTGATCCATGGCAAAAAGTTATGGTGGCGTGCTTTGCCAAAACATTAACGCTTTTCCACTTGTGTCTGCTCGTTTTGTAGAACCGCTGGCGGGAGTTGTCCAGGGAAGATCAGGAGCCGATATTAGAGTCTCCGCCCTCGACTCAGCCGCAGGCCCGGTGTCCGACGGAGCGATGCAACGGCAGCCAGCGGGGGGGGTCAGCAGGAGGAGGGAGGGGACTACAGACAGGACGACAGAGCACCAGCACCATCTCCATGCAAGGAGCAGGAGCAGGACGGCGGCACCACACAGTCAGTACTCTATGAATTAAAAAATGCTCTCAAGAGAAGAGTGATTATTTTAGCTTTTGCTGGACAGACAGCTGTTTACCCATCATCCTTTTCTCGCAGCAAGCGACGCAGAGAAGACAGCATCTCCAAATCAGGCACAGCCAAGACAACCCAAAGCAAGCCCAGGACAAACGACTCAGAGAAGAAGAGGAAAAGGTGATTATTATATATTTTGGCTGAGACCATATGTTATTATTCATACACCAAGCGTCAAGTTGTTGTTACCCTCCACGATGATTTGTCGAGCACCGTCACAATGTCACTTCTGTATTCATCAACACTTTTATTTAAACTTATATTAAGTGTGATATTCAAAAATGTATGTCTTTTTCAACACAGATTATAAGAACCAGATCTAACCCATCATGCTTCATCCATTTGTTAATAAAAAGTCAATCCCTAATAATATTATTTCATAATGGGACATTTTGCATGTTTCCTAATGATACCAAATACTTTACGCTTTAAAGCTTTATCCATAACGTTTGTATTCAAAGTCTAAGAGTGTCTTAGAGTTAAAATCAGAGTGCCGTGTCACTTTTACTTTCTGTTTGCATGTCTAATCATTCTGTTTAAACATTCCTGCACTATTGCACTTTAAGAGAAGGCTACTCTAATAATATCATTGTTTTATTTCTAGAATTATATCCCTGTTGTTTCCAACTCATTTTATTTAAACATAACTCCAGACTGCTGTAATTTCCAAAAGTCAACATTTGTTGGTAAAAGTTTGGTGTTATAATATTTAAATATTCGTGTTTACCTAATGAAATCCACTGTTTTTAGACCACAGTAAAAATCCAACATTTTTACTGTGGTCTAAAAACAGTTTTCTCTTCCTTGCGGCAACAAAGAGAGGCACCAACTTATATTACCAGCTGCAATTTAACATCACCATCAATTACATTTATATAACCACAGTAAAGAAATCTATTTTTAGCTCTAACACTATTAGTAAAGAAGATCGGAAATAAGCAGCATTTTATTCTTTTACTTGAATTTGCCCTTTACATGTATTTATTCTGACATGAAAGGAACTTACAAATTATATTCAGAAATTGATTTAATAAAAAAGGAATCAGACTTATTACGTCAGACATTTGCTTTTTCGAATGTATACCATGAGCCGCTTTCACACCAAGTACTTTGCCGTGCTTAGTGCCGGCACCTAGTGCCCCCATGGAACTAAGTACAGATCGCGTTCACACCGGAATAAGTTCCCTGAGGGAAGATTACGCAAATGAGCCGCTGACGTCACTTCGTCTTCTTCTGCTTTGGGTTTACTGGCAGGCCGCAAAAAACTTCACGGCGTATACTGCCGCCCGAAGTCCCCGGAGTTGGGGACTGGCTAGTAGAAGTAGTAGAAGCTAGTAGAAGCTGCTGGGAGTCCCAGCAGCTTCTACTGAAGCCTTCCGAGTAAATCGCCAGAACGCCGGCCTCCTCATCACTCCACCGCTCCCATGTTTTTTTGTTGTTACCATAAGTTATTCTCTCTCCGTTGGTGGCTAATGCTAATAATGCTAATGCCAGCAAATACAATGGCGGCTTCACAAAACGTTTCAGAGTTTTATGGGCCGTGGTTTGCAATTCGCCCAGCCAATCAGAAATTGGTACTTTTTTCTCCCCAGGATAGTACCTGCTCTCCAGTAGGCAATACAAATGGGGGTAAAAGTTCCCGGCACTAAGTACTCTTTTTGGTGTGAACGCAAAATAAGGGGTACTAACGGAACTAAACGGGAAAAGTACGGGGAAAAGTACTCCGGTGTGAACGCGCCTATGGACATCCGGTACAGCTCTTTTTTAGTTTCCTTTACACAAAAAGGAAAGAAAGTGCTTTAGTTTAACCTCTTGCACTTTTACTTTTACTTTAGCACTTTTACTTTAGCACTTTTACTTTACTTTAGCACTTTTACTTTAGCACTTTTACTTTAGCACTTTTACTTTTACTTTAGCACTTTTACTTTAGCACTTTTACTTTAGCACTTTTACTTTAGCACTTTTACTTTACTTTAGCACTTTTACTTTAGCACTTTTACTTTAGCACTTACAACTCTTGTGATGCCAAAGAAGAAAAGACATGAGTCAGTTTTCAGCTTAATTTCTTCAAACCCTACAGAGGAAATTCAGGCAGGCTTTCCCAATGCATGACTCAACAAAATCACACTTCAGACATAGCTGAGGCTTTCTCCTTTTCTCTCTCTCTCAACATTCTCAGTCTGACGTCTACGTCATGTTCTCTTGAAGGCAGGGCAGTTAGCCCTGATGAAGCACTTATTTCTGATGACTGTGCACCTCCAGGAATGGCTCACTTAGCCGTTTCTCAGAAGCCTTCCTTTGTTGTGTGACATGTCAGTGTTGTTCCAGTAATTCGGCCCAAACTGACGCGCTCTCACTCTGCTGTTGTGGTTCTTCTCGGACAGTTTGGGCTGCATTTGCTGCACATGACAAGGGCTGGCCTGTCCAGTGGGGGGCAGTGTATCTTTACCCCCCGCTGAGACAGCAACAACAACCACGAGGAGCACATTTAGAGGACGAGGTTTACCTGCTGCTTTTAAAACGAACGCCCTCTCTTGTACATGGAGGTGTGTGTGTGTGTGTGTGTGTGTGTGTGTGTGTGTGTGTGTGTGTGTGTGTTGTGTGTGTGTGTGTGTGTGTGTGTGTGTGTGTGTGTGTGTTGTGTGTGTGTGTGTGTGTGTGTGTGTGTGTGTGTGTGTGTGTGTGTGTGTGTGTGTGTGTGTGTGCTTGGTGTCTGCTGTGTTTTTGATTCTGTTGAGGTTTTTCTCTCCTTTCAATGACCTGCTTTGCTGCTGTAGTTTGGAGTTGTGTTCTGCACTTTAGTGTGTGTGTGTGTGTGTGGCATGTGTGTGTGTATAATTGTGGTTTAGGTGTTGAAGCTCTGAAATGTCAGGATGAGTTTGAAAAAGCTGCTAATTTTTGCTTTGCATCAAATTGGCTGGGACCCTTTTTTTGTCAAATGCGTCAAACACGGTTTAAGTCAGCAACTGGTAAAGTTCCCCCTCACTAAACCACTGCTTTGCTGCTGTTTTGTTAGCATGTGATTTGGTTAGGACAGAGAAGACTGATGTATGGTACAAAGGAAGTGAAGTCTCTTCCTGGTTGGGGCAGCCCATCACACCAAGTGTGTCGGGCTGGAGCTTGAGAGTTTATTGCATGATTCTGTAGTTTTACAGCTGTTTTCAGAGATGTTTCATAAGGTCTTCTTTATGTTTCCTCACTTTAGCATGGCAGTTTGTAATGGTTTGTTGGTTTTATACTGTATTAGTTTTGGTTTGGCCTAAAGATTGAATGGTTTGGATGTCTGAAATTCGTCAGGAGATTTACGATGGGTCTTAAAGAGCCATTGTTGAGGTAAAACTTAAGGACTAGTGAACTATCTAAACATTTAGTTATCTTTGATGTAGATTTTAAAACCTTAGAGCAACTAATGATTATTTATCATGAATTATTATCTGTTGATGAATAAGGTTTAAGGTATAGAAATATAGGATATACAAAAAATACCTTTAACAATTAATATTTTCTTTCAATCTTTTCAAGATCTGAAAGCCCAAAGTTTCCTCTTTGGAAATATTTTCTTGTCTGATTAACAGAAAAACAAAACCAAAGATATTCATTTAATGATATCAAATTGACAAAAACTAAAAGGTCAATATTTGACATATTTGCTGGATAATTGACCTTTAAGTTTTTCCGATTGAATTGTCTGTTTATCAACTAATCAATAGATTGACTAATACTCTCATCTTCAAAACCCTCCCTCATCATACTGGGATGATACACAGATAATTAAATCTGTGTTCTAACGCTCTGCAAAAACTCAATGAACATTGTCTTTAAAATGTTGGAGATCATCTGGACATGGTGTGACATGTTGCTTATTAAACAAGATGGCTGCTTTCGCTGCATTTACACTCAACCTAATGTTGGTATGATCAAAGTGATCCAAGACGCCGCATTGTGCCACGGCTGCAACAAGTAGCTGGAACCATCTTTGAAATGTTCGATCCCTAATCCAATATTAGAAGTCAGCATAGAATAACACTTTTTGTTACGGATTAACATGTAATGTTCATAATCATTTCCCACCCCAAAAATGCACCAAGTAACAGGACCTTCTCCATGTCTCTCTCATAGATTTTCTAGATAAAAAGTTATCCAAGTTACAGGAAGATTAGAATTCCAACTGAAAATGAATTGCAGTACATCCCACCTTATATTAAATGTTTTACTTTCCATGAAGGAAACAGTTGCAAGGCATCTATATAACAACACACTAAACACATCTCTGTTTGAATCGTAACTTCATTTTGTGGCACAGGTTCCTTTGATCACTCTTGAGCTTCACTGACACTGGTAGAATAAACTGTTCTGAGTTCAACCTCTTTAAATACTTTGTGTCTTGTGACAGGGCGAAAACCAGCGACTGCTAACCACCTCCACCTGCGGCCGTGCACCTGCAGCTCCGGCAGCACAGCCACCTCCGGCAGGGATCTCCAGCTCTCTCAAACCTCTGCGCCCCCCCCCCCCCTCCACTGCCACAGCTCTCTGTCCAGCCCTGAAACATAAATCAGCCTCTGCACACCTCCCCCTTCCCCCTCCTGTTAGCAGCATGTCACCCCTCAGCGCCCCACCTCACTCTTCCTCTCTAAACTGTTTACAGCAGACACTTCGACATTCTTTGAAGACGGCACATTTAAAACAAAAAAAGACGACGAACACACCAGCGCTTTGCCCCCCAGTCACACCTCAACCACCGCCTGCTTTTGGAGTCAGAAACCCTTGTTTTTTTTGCTTTAATATTATTATTATTTGCAGCTTCTCCTTCTACTATGCCTCTTTGCATTCATGAAATTAAGACTGATACTAGGGGCTATGCATTGCCAATTTGGAATGCTGTTCATATGTGTATTTTTAGAAGAAAAACTTTTTTCAGAGGCAAAAATGTTCTATTTTTTATAAGAGATTACTTGAAGTTTTTCACGGTGATGGAGGTTGGCTAAATTTAAAAAGCACTGCCTCCTCCCACATGAGAAATTCAGTGGCATGTGAGATTTCCATGATGTACATAGTGTTCTTTAAGACATATTTTTGCTTGTAAAAAGATGAACGACAATGTTACAGATTTGAATCCAGTATAGAAACATGATTTGATGACTTGTTCTCCTTTTGAAATGAAAATGTCTTAAGTTTCTCTTTCTCTTAGAGTGTAATCCACAAATAAAACTGGTATTATCTAGTTTACATAACAACCGGCCTTTTGCTCTTTTCTTGTTACCTTTAAATGATCCCCTTTTATTACATAACAGCAATATTTTGAGAATAATCTAATAGAAAATGTATGAAATGCTAAAATGTGTCAGTTCAATGAGGCTAAAGCCAGGTAAAATTATTCAGATAAGTAAATGAACACATTTTATTTTGGATTTGATTAGAAAGTGCATTTCTTGCCATGGTAACTAATTAAGAAAGTGGTATAAATATTCCCATTTACTGTAATTGTCTCCCAGAGAGGGAATAACTCATTATTCCTGTCAAACTATTGCTTTAGAAATAATTGTAGGACAGAAAATATAAACCTTATCACCCTTAAGAACATTTTGATGCTAAAAAGTTGTTATTTAGTTATATTTTAAATGTAATTTCACAGGAAGCTGCATTTTCGAGTCTCTTTCTCAGATGCAAACATTCAGTTTATGGTTTCCTCTCATAAAATGCTACCGGAACATTCCATTCCCACGGGCAGTCCTACACATAACCCACCAAAAACAATGATGCCGACTGAGAGCAAAACCACAAATTGGACTAAACAGCTCGACAAGATCAAAGTATGATTAAGTGCGTTTCTTTTCACCACAAGTAGTCGTAATTGTTTGTAGGAAGGGCTCAGGTTACAGAGAGGCGGGACTACCAGGAATACAGCGTGGCACGTGGCCAACCACTTTCAGAAACACAGGCGGAGGCGGGGTCCGGTGAGAGAAACACAATCAGTCTTCATCGTTTCACAGAAATCACACAGTGTTCGTGTCACAATATTTTATTTGAAAATCACATTCAAATGCTGCAAAACAATGAATTAATATACCAGAAGTGCTCATTTAGGTCAGTTCTTGTAAATGACGTATTGTTTATGCACCTAAAAGATTATCATCAAAATAAAAAAGGAAGCTGTTGGCAAGTGCGAGGGCTTTCGTGATGTTTGAAGTACAGACCAGGTAAACTCATTATAAAACACGGATATGAGATTTTGCTGCTTTTCCCAGAAGCTAAATATAAGTTTAAAAGAGTGCTGGAGGGATGCCGCTGCCAAAAAGAAGATTCCAGGATGTTGGGATCTTCCATTTGTTGGGCTTCTGACTCTGAAATGTGAAACCATAATTAGAAAGTTGTTATCTTAAATCATACAATACAGAATATAGTTTAAATTACACTAAGCGTGTTAGTACTTCTTAGGCTAGTTTCATTTCACTGCAAGTCTATTTTTTTTTTTACAAAGTAAATAGTATTGGTGGCAGGTTTGTGACTCACAGGGTCGTCCAGCAGGTGAAGCCAGTCGTTGAGGTGGTTGACAAGCGTGAAGGCGTCTGGGATGTTGTCTCCCTCCGAGCAGAAGAGAATCAGCACAGCCAGCGGGACGTCCTCTGCACAGCTGAACCCCCAGAGGAAGAAACATTTAAAACACCTCCCTCGATCAAAACCTGTTACTGGGCTGTTTCAGTGTGCTGAATTTCAACAATATATAGAGGTAGAGAGAGAGTGTTTTGATATTATCATGATCAAGATAAGAGCTTGAGTTCTTATATGTTGCAATTTTGCAGAAGGTAAACTTCTTTATAGTCATAATTGAGCAAAAGACTAGAGACTTGTTTTAAAAGGTCATCACATGTTACATCACATGCTAAACATGCGCAGATGTACAATAAGGACTGCATTTAATGAGTACATTATAAATGCTTCATAACCATCTCAAAAGGTCAGGAGGTCTTAAGTTAAAGTTAACAATAACAACAGGGGTCAGGAGGAGACGGAAACAAGGAGATATTTTGGCTAGATTGGATCGACTGAAATGCTCAAAATAATCTGATGAAAGGCAGTTTTCATCGACTAAAACTAGTGTACTACAATAGTTACTGTAATATTGTTATTGACTTAGATGAGTCTAAAAATGCCATGCAGAAGGACACCAGACTAAGATGAAATAAAGAAATCAGAAAGGAATTTAATACTACTCAAGGTTTAGTTTGTTGCTGTAACAAAAGGAATTCACAACACTGTTTTTAAATGTACTTCCTAAACTTGGATAAATAAAATTACATTTCACTTAAGAAATTCACAAAAATAATCCAGTTAAATGTTTTCCTTGTGTCACTCAAGATGAATCATGTTTTTAGGTGTGCATGACGTAGCCAGCAGGTACACAGCGCTCTCTCTCTCTCTCTCTCTCTCTCTCTCTGTGTGTACCTGTCTGTGTAGAGTCCTTTAGTTATGCCTCCTCCGGGGACGTAGAGGCGAGGCTCCGTGTTGGCGTCCGTCAGACCCGGGTAGGCCGACACTCGCTCCATCTCCCTCCAGCTGAGCTCCTTCAAGGCGTCCTCGCTGTCCTTCAGCAGGGACGGAGTGACCAGGTACCTCAGAGGAATGCTGCATGGACACAGATCTGTTAGTCCAGATGTTAACAGCACAGTGATGCAGCAATGATGTGCAGTGTGTGTTTAGGTACCCTTTCATCTGCTGGTCGTCCCTCTGGTAGGCCTGACTGCTGGACAGGACGACGGCCCTGGAGAACCCGCTGGATTTGATCCAAGAGACGAGCAGCTGACGGAACTTTTTGGATTTTGACTGCAATTAAAAACAGGAGTTAAAGTAACAAAAACAATAGAGCAAATTAAACGATCGGTCTGTGGGAACACAAACTACATCATAAGGAAAGATAAAGATGTCATTTATGCTCTCTTAAAACGTATGTTAGTTAAACAACTAGTTCTCCACCTTAAAAAAAACCTAAGAAAATGAGAATAAACTCATGCTGATGCAACAGACTGGTTTTACCTGGATGATTGGTGCCCGGATTTGAAGAACGGCCAGCTTCAGTTCTGCTGCCGTGTAAACTGTTGATGAGAAGCAGGTTGACAGATTATTTGTGTGGTCAAAAATTATTAAGGTGACATTTGCACATTTACTTAGATGGTACCTTCTGCAGGAGTGTGCAGCTCCTCAGCGTTCTCGTTGGAGGTGGCGTACGGGTTGTTTCCCGTCATGGGGATGAGGCAGTCCGTGTGCATGTAGCCCACTCTGCTCATGTTGAGCGTCGACAGGATGAGGTCCACAGACAGCTGGCCCACATTACCAACAGCCACTGCTGGCTGGGGGGAGGGGGGGGGATAAGCAACAAATAACAATTACAAACAATTTTAATATATTAATTGTTTCAGTCTCTGCTACAATGATGCTGCCTTCATGGTTCCAGACTCTCACCTGTGAGGATTTGCAGCTTATCCTGTTCTTAAATAAAAGTGAATTGACTTGTTTTAATGCCTGAAATAAAAACCCTGGACTCTGGATGATGGGCATTTGGTGCTATTTTCTCACATTATTCAAACCAAGGAATGAATCAAATAATTAACAACAATAATCAGGTCAATCAACTGTTAATTTATAATCAATTGCAGCCCTAAATGTACCATGTAAAGGGTAATAATAAGTCAATGAAAGTTTAAGAGTCATAGCAATCATAAAACGTGTCTTTACACTCTAATACAGTATAACAGTCACAAACGCATTGAATACTTTTACTTTTGATAATATCACTTTTACTATGCAGGACTTTTATTTGTAAGTGAATAACAATGTGGCGTGTATGAAGCTTCTTTAGCTCCAGTAAAATAGTTACATTAGGATAAAAACTTAGCCTAGTGATTACAAATATGCTGCAATTGAAAACGTTTCACGAAATAATGACTAAGTATTGCAACATAATGAACATAAACAATCGCAAACTTATTTTGAGGAAGGTTTTCCTAATATTGATTATCGTTACATTATATTTGTAATCACCTTTGCGGAAAGGCTCTTTTACTTTTATAAAGGATGGGACTACTTCCTGCAATGATGCTCATCTGTGATTTCAGACTATTTATTTAAACAATAATGACATGTACTTATACTCTGTTCCCATTAGCTCCCATACAGCAAACTAAATGAGACCGTGCTGGTATATTAGTAATAAAACACACTTTATCCAACATTAGCACATTGTTGTGTCGCTCACCATGACGAGGGTGAAATCTTTGAAGCAGGGCGGAGAGTTTTCTGAAGAGATAAACATGATGCCGTTTATCAGAGCTCAACCGATACTGAGGAACTAGATTTAAATGTTATTATATTATCTAAAAACTACTTTTTCGCAGCAGCTTTCACTTCTATTTTCATTCCTGCCTGTGAGGACCTTCTCGCTCGCCGTCGCTTGCTGATGATTGAACGTTTTTTAGTACCCACCGTAAGTGCCTGATTAAAATGTGTTTTTGAAGTTTATTTTGAGACAAATATTTATTAAAGGTCCCTTCCGACTGTCTCTATCTTTTTTGTTCACGTAGCACGCCCCTTTAGGACTTATATTTGACATATTGTTTATAATGTAAAAAGGCATATTTACGGTTAACTGCTGCAAAGATTTCGTCCGTAGTAGAGATCTGCAACTCCCGTTGTTAACACCTTAAACATTAACATTTATATACAACTTCTTTGCTTATTAGAATAAATTATATTTTAAGCAATTTCTATTTTAAATGTGAAAAAGTCCAAATATATACACACAAATAATTTAGTGAAAACATTCAATTTTTAGATTAAAGTAACCATAAAATAATGTAATGAATTAAATGAAATAAACTATTACGTAACCACCCATGGTTTTCAAATAGTGAGACAATAATTATCGCTGCAAATAATAAACAAAAGATCAGTTATCATGATATGTTATTTATTCTATGGTAATTGTAACGGTAGGAGTAATGTTAGGAGATGTTATCCTTTTCTTCAAGTCATAATAACAGTAAAACTATGGCAGATAATTACATAGAAAGATCAACAAGAAACAATGAACTAACTACATAAAACACATCTAACCACATGAAGATGAGGCACTTCATTTTGGTTTGACTTCATTGGGAATAGATTGGCCTTTCAGTACAGCCACAGCATTTTCTACCATCCTCTGCACTATCTTTCTGCTGGTGGAGAGAGTGTCGGTGCCAACGTGGGGGGTGATCAGAACGTTAGGGAGACCCAGCAGAGGATGATCCCTGAAAACAAGATGAAGACGAGGAGTTGTTAGGAGCCAGCAAGGAGTTTGAGGAGTGTTGGTAAATGTGAAATTCTGCATCTTTTTACTGTTACTAAATAGGGCAAAAAAACAATGACCTTAATCACGCTTAGAAACACTGAGCTGCAGGGTGATACTTCTCGGTATATGATCCATACAAATACTATCTATCGTTAAGGCTACACAGTATAAAGAAAGCTGGAGAAATCATCTGTGGGTGTTTGCACTTGCTATATCTGACTGTATATGGATTTTAATGACTACTTTTTTACGATGTTGTATTTTAGTGTTGCCTCTGTGTTTAGTGTCTTGTCTGTAACTTTGTGTGGTAGTGTTACCACTGACAGGTCTCTCTTGAAAATGAGACCTTGTGTCTCAATGAGATCTACACCTGTATAAATAAAGGCTAAATAAAAATAAAATAAATAAAATATGCAATATGGGATAACACTGTTAAATATCAAGATTTTGATAAATAAAATACTCTGAATTAAACATGTTTTTAAAAAAAGAAAATCATTTTAAACATTCTGTTATTGAACATATTGAACATTGAGCACAAAAGGCACCAATAAAAAAACATGGTAGTTACTTTTTAAAGTGCAATTTTCTACTGGTAACATCTTTCAATCAGCTCAAAACTCTATTGTGGTCTTTCTTGATGTGTTTATTCCATATTTAGTTAGTTAAAATTGTGATGACCCACATTTTTTTATTTTGCAAACCTAAATGAACTTTTTACTGTTTGTATGATGCTGAGGGCCCTGAGTGCATTTTGTGTCAGTACATACTGTGATCTTTTGACAAGGTTCATTTATATTTGTTTTGAACGACGCTTTGTAACTTTAACTGGGAATTGACTCAGTAAAGTCAAATCCACAGTCATATTGATACAAAGAAGGACTGTAGTTTCGAAACTCCTTTGTGTATTGTGAACCAAGCAGGAGTATTTTGTACAAATACAACTCAAAGATAATGAAAGTAAATTGTGACTCTGGTAGAGGAGTGTGATGAGACCTTGGCAGCGGTTCAGGGTAAGTCACGTCTAACGCCGCCGCAAGAATTGTCTCCGACTGCAGAGCTTTGACCAGAGCGTCCTGATCCACAACCCGACCTGAGGCACAGAGAGTCCACCATTAGTGTTTCAGAGTTCACAGTAACATTTGTAACTCTTTAACAAAGACTAGTGACGTCTGGACATCCTCCTGACCTCTGCTGATGTTGACCAGTGTTGCTGTGGGTTTCATGAGGTTCAGCTCTCTGGTGCTGATCAGGCCGGTGGTCTCAGGGCTCAGGTTGACCGCCAGCACCACGAAGTCCGACTCTTTCAGCAGGTCGTCCATTTTCTCACAATAAGTAGCACCCACCGCCTGCTCTTCCTCAACACTCCTGAACAGAGAAAACATGAAGCAGACCATCACTGTCTCCCTTCATTCATGGCTTTTAAATATCTGGTTATAGTGGTGAATACAGAAGTGCTGTACAGAAAAAAGCAAATTGCAGCATTTTTATTAAGGGAATTGGACAATTATGACCTCCTGTTCCTGTTGTGGTACAGGATCTTCATGTCAAATCCTTTGCCTCTTTGAGCGATTCTGCAGCCAATGTGTCCCATTCCTATAATCCCCATAGTCGACCCTGTGACTTCAACTCCCATCAGGCTTTGTGGTTTATGATTGGTGGTGTTGGGGTCAACAGATATTTGGTGACCTACAGGAAAACAGAACATTACATTAGAAAATCCTCAGTTTGTTTTGTAATAATATCACCCTTTCCACATTTCTGAGACGTTTCCCAAACTTGAATTCTTCTTGTCTGTCCACAGCTCATTAGGGCCATTGTAGGTATAATAAACTTTACAGACACAGGGTAATGCTTGGAGGAAAACATTCAAATTTCAAAGATAAAAGTTGTAGATTTACGAGAAAAAAGGTGGCTATTCTCTGGGATGAAAGTGACAATATACTAGAAGAAATCACTTAATAGTGTTTGTTATTTTTTGTCAAGGAACCACATTGCTTCATTTCATAAGATTGGATAAACCCATCACACCACAGTTGCTGACAGTAAACATGGAACAATGGGGATTCTGTCCGTTACGTTGTAGTCCCTGATGCACAAAATATATCACCTCATCCATATGTTGTTTTGTGGCAGGCCTAATTAAAGACCTTCTGCTTCTCCTAGCATTTTAAAGTTTTAGTCAAACATGGTCTGAGAACTATGTAAGTCTTAGTTATTTCAGTATATGGACTCAGTTAACCTTTGAACTAGTGATTATTGTACAGCACTTTTTTTTAAAGTAACCATTTATCACTTTGGTCTATATAAATTAAAACTTGACTCACCTTGAACGATCTTGCGTGCCGATGCCAGGAGCAGACCCATGGCCATGTCTGCCGTGGCGTCGCTCACCACCCCGGGCGTGTTGGTCACCTTCACCCCCAGACTGTTGATGTACGGCACGTCCAGGTGGTCGATGCCCACTCCTCCGTTAGCGACCACCTTCAGCGAGGGAAGAGACCGGAGAGTCGAAGGATCGGTTGGGGGGCTTTTGTCCCACACAAACACGGCCTGGATTTTAGGGCCGTGCAGCTGAGGGTTTTGAAGGAAGTCTTTGTAGCAGAGGATCTGGAAGTGTTGTTTTATTATGGGCGTTAAGTCTTCATATACACCATGTTCTACCGCCCCTGAGACCAGAGCCCATGGCTTGTCGTCCTCCATTACCTGGAAGGATGAAACCATGGATAAATAAAGATACACATGTTGACAACTCACAAAGAAAAAAGAACCTACTATCTACAGATTGTTAACAGCTTAGTAAAATATACCCTCCATGTGAAAGACAAATGGGAGTTGGAGATGATTATAAATATTGAGGACAGGGAGGATATCTGTACGAGTAGCCGCAAAGGCACAAGTCATCTATGGAAATAATTTGATTGTAATGTTTGTTCAGGAAACCATTGATTAAAAAATACAAATAAAAGCAGCCATCAAATACTGTTGCTTTTCTATTGCTGGCATTTAATAAACAGATAAGAAGTATTAAAAAAACACAAAAAAGGTGGACAAAGGTGGGATACACGGCCCGTGGTCCCCTGACCCCTGTGTATAACTGTAAGCACTGTTTACACTAAAACACATTAAACACATTTGGGGAAATATATATAGTTTACTTTTTATTGGAAAGTAACAAAATAAATGTACTCAAGTACTAAAAAGTTACATTTTGACATACACATTATACTACTTTATGAAATTATAGTACTTTGTATTTCACTATAATATTGTTTGACAGTTATATTTTACATAGATAACATATGATATGATGCAGTGCACTACTATTAAGCTTAACTGAATAACTAATGACACAATTACATTAACAAATTAAAACGTTTAAATGCTTTTACATACATATACATTAGTATTTATTTCAGAACTGTTCACATGTTTGTAAGGTAAATAAAAGTGAAGCAACTAGCCTGGCTCTGTCTACATGAAATCACAGCATTTATAATATTTACTGATTACTCCACATCCGTTTCTTAAGAGGAAGGCCTCTAGTTATTATACAGATTACTAAACTGTTATCAGATATAAAGTGACACATCCAAACGTCACATATAATTCATGAGAAAGAAAGTTAGCACTATAAAAACATACGTGATTCTATTGCCTGGTTTTCTGATCTTGAACCAGGAAGTACTTCTTAGGACATGCGAAGGATTTCAAAATAAGAGCTTCTTTTATTTTACAACACAACCACTAATCCTTGGTTACTCCCTTTATATATACAGTCTATGGTTACTCCTTGTCCTACTGTCTTATATTTTCTACTTCATTAGATTAAAATACTACTTACTATCACTACTTGTTGTGGTTATTTTATCTATTAAAGATTATAATAAATTATGATCAATTAAATTAAATGTTGGTTTAATTGTATTACAAGCACAAGTAAGAACTGGTCTAATGCCAGCAATATGCATACACTTATCTTTCTTTTATGACAGTAAGTTTATTTCACTATACATTAGTTTTAGAGTGAAGAATCACCTTTTCAACCTGTTTCTTAGTTCTTTGGGTTCCTCAAGGCAGAAGAAGATGGAAGTTGAGGGTTCAAGTGAACAAGGTGCAACATTAGAGGTAGCTTTTTAATCTTTTTTTAAAGTATTGCAGCATGTACAAATGTAACTGTAATTCATTTAAAACAAACTGGTAAGGATCCATTTAAATGTTAAAATCATCATGTTATTTCATTTCCAACATTGGTTCACAGAAAAGTGATATTAAGCATGTAGTTATGTTAATGTCCATTAAAAAGTCTCAATGACATTTACTATGGCAGGTCATTAGAAAGAACAATCGACGGGTTAAAACTAACATATTTACTTCCTCTTGCAATAGTGAAACCCTCCTAACCTCGGACACATGAGTCAACCATAGTGACTTCATTTAGGTTTGACTTCATTGGGAATAGATTGGCCTTTCAGTACAGCCACAGCATTTTCTACCATCCTCTGCACTATCTTTCTGCTGGTGGAGAGAGTGTCGGTGCCAACGTGGGGGGTGATCAGAACGTTAGGGAGACCCAGCAGAGGATGATCCCTGAAAACAAGATGAAGAGGAGGAGTTGTTAGGAGCCAGCAAGGAGTTTACTGTGAACTAAACAAGAGAGTGTTTTGTACAAATATCAAGTCAAAGATAATGAATGTAATTTGTGATTCTGGTAGAGGAGTGGGATGAGACCTTGGCAGCGGTTCAGGGTAAGTCACGTCTAACGCCGCCGCGAGAATTGTCTCCGATTTTAGAGCTTTGACCAGAGCGTCCTGATCCACAACCCGACCTGAGGCACAGAGAGTCCACCATTAGTGTTTCAGAGTTCACAGTAACATTTGTAACTCTTTAACAAAGACTAGTGACGTCTGGACATCCTCCTGACCTCTGCTGATGTTGACCAGTGTTGCTGTGGGTTTCATGAGGTTCAGCTCTCTGGTGCTGATCAGGCCGGTGGTCTCAGGGCTCAGGTTGACCGCCAGCACCACGAAGTCCGACTCTTTCAGCAGGTCGTCCATTTTCTCACAATAAGTAGCACCCACCGCCTGCTCTTCCTCAACGCTCCTGAACAGAGAAAACATGAAGCAGACCATCACTGTCTCCCTTCATTCATGGCTTTTAAATATCTGGTTATAGTGGTAAATAAGTAACAAATAACATTAGACAATTATGACCTCCTGGTCCTGTTGTGGTACAGGACCTTCATGTCAAATCCTTTGCCTCTTTGAGCGATTCTGCAGCCAATGTGTCCCATTCCTATAATCCCCATAGTCGACCCTGTGACTTCAACTCCCATCAGGCTTTGTGGTTTATGATTGGTGGTGTTGGGGTCAACAGATATTTGGTGACCTACAGGAAGACAGGACATTACATTAGATGAGATGAAGGTTTTGCATTTTGTTTTTTTTAACCAATGCCACATTGAGAATTCTTCTTCAGAATCTGAATCATTTTTGTTTGTATAACAGCGCATTATAGGTATACAAAACATGTATCCTTAAATAGAACCCCCATTGCTTCATTGTATACAATTAAATCAACCTCATCACACTACAGTTGACGGCAGTAAACTTAGGACAATGACGTCCGTCCAGTATATTGGTCTATTTAAATGAAAACTTGACTCACCTTGAACAATCTTGCGTGCCGATGCCAGGAGCAGACCCATGGCCATGTCTGCCGTGGCGTCGCTCACCACCCCGGGCGTGTTGGTCACCTTCACCCCCAGACTGTTGATGTACGGCACGTCCAGGTGGTCGATGCCCACTCCTCCGTTAGCGACCACCTTCAGCGAGGGAAGAGACCGGAGAGTCGAAGGATCGGTTGGGGGGCTTTTGCCCCAGACTAACATGGCCTGGATTTTAGGGCCGTGCAGCTGAGGGTTTTGAAGGAAGTCTTTGTAGCAGAGGATCTGGAAGTGTTTCTTTATGTTGGTTAAGTCTTCAACGAAACCTTCGCCAGGCTCTGAGGTCAGAGCCCATGGCTTGTTGTCCTCCATTACCTGGAAGGATGAAACCATGGATACATAAAGAGAACAGAAGAAATTAAATTTACACAGTATGACAACTCGCAAAGTGAAATAAATCAATTACAAGCTGACAAAGTAAAAATGAGGCAGGCTGAGAATAATTCATCAAACTCATGCATTTAGTTAATCAGTGTCCTGGGTTCAGAGCTTCAGTCTAACATTAAACGTAATAAGTCCTCACATCAGAGAACGAGTCACCAAATCTTCACACAACACCCAGTTTAGTTTGATAAACTTTCACTCATTTATGAAGCAAAGACGAGTTCATGGACAAGACAATGATTCCTGCTGCTCAGGGGGAAAGGAACAGAAACTAAATGTATTTTGAGAGAAAACAAATACATTTATTTTGAAGTAAATTCTTTTGTTGAATGTACTAATCAATGATTGAATAATGTAACTAAAAGATCATACAAGGGGTACAGGGCAAATTCTTTGGCAGTCTTAAGTCAGTTTTGTATATCAACGCACCGATTGTTTTCCGATAGTGTAGATATATAGAGAAGCATTACATCAATGTGTTGTTTGTACATCAATGTAAAACACAGGGTTATAGATAGACTGAAGTAAGGCAGTATTAATTAACGATCAAGCTCGAGAAACACTCATACATTTATTTACAATGCAATTCAATTTAGGTTTAGGCCTTTTCTGCCAAACGCCCAAATCTTTCAAACTCCCAGAAGTCTGCATCAAAGATAACATTCTACTATTATGAGCACTTTAACAATGACATCTGCTAATACCAAAAATGTAAATTGGAAATGACAATACCTTTTTGTGTTGCAGTTGCCGCACAGATCTGTTTATGTTTGTCACTTTAAGAAGCCGGGACACTTGTGCTGATCCCCACAGTCTCCTCACACAGACACTTTGCATTCTGGAGGGCGAGTAAATCACAGAGCTGGATAATATAACACAGGATTGATGATTACCTTTGAATATTATGAAACACAGGATTGATGATTATCTTTAAAGATGGAGGACCTGGTTATAAAATACAATCCATAAAATAATCCTCAATATAACATAAAACCCAGGAATGGAAACTCTACAAGTGTCATGTATGTAAAGATGTGCTTGCAGTTAAAGTGCAGGTCAAAGTGCTTTCAATAAATTATTAACCTGTGGGTCAACTACACAATCTCAAATAAACATATGGGCTCTCAGAAAGGAAATGCTTGGAATTATACAAACATATTTGATGTTTGAATGTTTTAAATGGCATCAACATGTACTTAATGTTAGTTGAGTTCTCACCTCCAGTTTTTCTGAACTGTTTTGCGACTCAGTTAAACTGAGGTTAAACCATAGGCGGATTTTGCGGGGGGGCAGGGGGGGAAGTGGCTGAAATATATTACAGCATTACTACGTCGAAAACTGTTCCAATACAAATATTTCGTATATCAATATTTTAATAAGGTAGGACACTGGTTAATAATATTGTAGAGTGTTCAAGTAACCAAGGGATATAGTAGTTATCAAATAAGTATAAGATGTGCACAGTTATGATAAGTTTTACAGTTATGTAATGCATGTTGTTGGGGGGAGAGACCGCCCCTTCCATATGAGTGAATAGGCTTGTTTGAGACAAGCGAGACCTGCGCAGACCTGCGCAATTTCGATCAACGTCTTGCTCGTGCGTTGCATGATGGTTAGTCATTTTGTCCGACTTGCTCTGGAGGCCCGCCTACATGAGACGTTGAAATCTCGCGGGACAAGACGCCCGCAGCCTTGAGAGCGAGGCGCGGCGAGGCGGCGCAGTTCCTCTCCACGGGCTGCGGAAGCGAAATGCTTGATGGGAAACGACTCGCTGGTATCTTGAGCTGAGCGCTCATTGGTGGTTTTTACCACGTGCTGGTGATGAAACTCTCCAATTGGCTCGGCAAAAGTTTGTTGTTGTTTTGTGTCAGTTTTACGTCGCCCCATCCATTCCCATTTTTCATCATTGTTCCACAATATTTATCATCATTAAATTAATATCCATATATTTTATACTATACTTGCACTGCTTACCGTTTTCATACTTTATATATCTTAGCATATTCATACACACTGTTCATACTGCTCTCAGGCTGCTGTGTATATCTAGTGTATTCATACCCCTCACTGTTTATTCATCATTCAATTCATTCTATATTTTATTCTGTAGATTGTGTACATTACTTTTCACTTTACTGCTTGTTGCACCTGGTTAGAAGCTAAACTGCATTTCGTTGTCTCAGTACCTGTAATATGTGCAATAACAATAAAGTTGAATCTAATCTTGAGCAGGAACAAATGTATTTACTTAGTACATATCTGACATTAACGATTAAACACATGTGTGCATTCTTTATAAATGCAAACCGAGTCAAGCCGACTCCGGAGGTGGCGGTATGCAGCTTAAAGTTGTTTGCAATCCGCCAAAAAACCGAGAGAAGAAGAAGACGAAGCCGACTCCGAGCTGTCCGACTTCAGGCGAGCTTTTTGAGACGTCCCCCGGCTGCGATCGGCTACTCTCGTCTACTTTCGAGGCGAGCCGCAACGCGTCTCAAACAAGCCTAGTGTGTACGGCGGGCATGGAAAAGTCATACTCAGTGCGGTGTGCGCTGGCTTTATTGCTACTGTATCCATAGCACCCCACGCGATAGTTGGGACTGTGTACTGACGTCAGTAAAAAAGGTTTGCCCCCTCAAGCGCAAATGTCAAACTCCGCCTATGGGTTAAACTGCAGGAAGACATTTATCTACTTTGATTGATTGACTTGGATAGTGTCCAATTTCCCATTTGATTTAACTGAAGATTCCAAACTTATGAAGCTGATATGAAAGCAGCACAGAAAACCGTCTAAAGCCAGTAGCATAGTAAGTATTTTAAGCACAAAGAGTGGCAGGCAGGAGCTTCAGGCTGGTGAATACACAACACTGAGCACAGAGACCAACACCCCCACCACCCTTAAAGAGACAGGACACACTAAAGTAAACTTTTCTAGTTGGATCTACACACACACACACACACACACACACACACACACACACACACACACACACACACACACACACACACACACACACACACACATCACACACACACACACACACAACACACACCACACACACCATTCTGTGAAAAAACTCTTATTTGACTTGAGGAAATTAATTATCTGCAAAGGGCAAATTAAGCAACTGTAGCAGCAAATAATAATTTTAGAAAAAACAGAAGTACATTTGGTTTAGTTAGTACGTGCAAACGGTTAGTTAACCAACTAAATGTATGAACAAGAATCTGCTAAAAGTATGGATTCCAGCATTAACAGAATATGGAAATATAATGTAAGAAAATGTGAGATTTTATAAAAGAAAGGATGTAAAATAAAATGTACGAGTAAATAAAAGTGATATAAATGCATATAACAAAAACAGAACTTTGAGAGTACGACGCAGGGTCATAACAAGCAGATGTGCTTGAAATAACATAAAAATGTCCATAAAAGCAATACAAGTAAATGTAAACGTTTTGCTGACATTTTTTGTGAATCAACGACACAACTGCTGCTTGGGTTTTCCTTAAGCGAGATCATTACATTACATTACATTGCATTTAGCTGACGCTTTTGTCCAAAGCGACTTACAATAAGTACATTCGACCAGGAAGACACAAGCTTGAAGAAAACAGAATCATATAAGTACATCAGGTTTCATAGAGCCAAACATTTCAAGTGCTACTCAACTGGCTTTAGGTAAGCCAGTCCTTTATTAGTATAAAAGTGCTTCGTTAATAGTTCTAACGCTCGAAGTGGAGTCGAAAGAGATGAGTTTTCAGTTTGCGCCGGAAGATGTGCAAGCTATCTGCCGTCCTGATGTCAATGGGGAGCTCATTCCACCATCTTGGAGCCAGGACAGCAAACCCACGTGTTTTTGCTGATGGGAACTTGGGTCCCCCTCGCAGCGAGGGCGCAGCGAGTCGTTTGGCTGATGCAGAGCGTAGTGCACGCGCTGGGGTGTACGGTTTAACCATGTCCTGGATGTAGGAAGGGCCAGATCCATTCGCAGCATGGTAAGCAAGTACCAGTGTCTTGAAGTGGATTCTAGCAGTTACCGGAAGCCAGTGAAGGGAGCGGAGGAGCGGAGTGGTGTGGGAAAATTTAGGAAGGTTGAAGACCAGACGAGCCGCTGCATTCTGGATGAGCTGCAGAGGTCGGATGGCACATGCAGGTAGACCAGCCAGGAGGGAGTTGCAGTAGTCTAGGCGTGAGATGACGAGAGCCTGGACCAGAACCTGAGTCGCTTTCTGTGTCAGCTGGGGACGTATCTTCCTGATGTTGTAAAGCGTGTATCTGCAGCAACGGGTTTGTAGCAGCGATGTTTGCAGTGAAGGACAGGTTGTTATCTAGGGTCACACCCAGATTCCTTGCAGTCTGAGTCGGGGAAACAACTGAGGTGCCGATGTTGATTGTTAGGTCAAGAGTGGGACAATCTTTTCCCGGGAGGGTAGAGCAGCTCAGTCTTGTCAAGGTTGAGCTTGAGGTGGTGAGCAGACATCCACTGAGAGATGTCAGCTAGACAAGCAGAGATGCGTGCAACAACCTGGGTCTCTGAGCGGGGAAAGGACAGAATTAATTGGGTGTCGTCAGCGTAGCAGTGGTAAGAAAAACCATGCGGGGCTAATGACTGATCCGAGCGAGTTTGTGTACAGGGAGAAGAGGAGGGGACCAAGAACAGAGCCCTGAGGGACCCCTGTAGTTAATTGACAAGGGTCGGACTCAGACCCTCTCCAAGTCACCCTGTAGGTACGGTCTTTCAGGTATGAGGTGAGGAGGGAAAGAGCAGAGCCTGAAACTCCATGTTTTTGGGAGAGTGCGAAGGAGGATCTGATGATTCACCGTGTCGAATGCAGCAGACAGGTCCAACAGGATGATGACAGAGGAGGAGGGATGCAGTGTGCAGTTCCTCCGTGACAGCAATGAGAGCAGTTTCTGTGGAGTGACCTGCCTTGAAACCAGGACTGGTGCGGATCAGAAGGTTGTTCTGATTGAGATAACAGGAGAGTTGTTTAAAGACAGCGCGTTCAAGTGATTTAGACAGGAACGGGAGGAGAGAGACAGGCCTGTAGTTTATAACATCAGACGGGTTGAGAGTGGGTTTCTTTAGGAGAGGGTTTACTCTTGCCTCCTTGAGACTGTTTGGAAAGTGACCAGAAGTTAGAGAAGTGTTGATGAATGGGTGGAGAACGGTAGAAATATCAGGAGCGATAGTCTGAAGGAGGTTTGAAGGGATAGGGTCCAGAGGACAGGTGGTAGGGCGGGCAGAAGTAATGAGGGTAATAACCTCACTTGGAGAGAGAGGGGAAAAGGAGGTTAGTGTGTTGGTGGAAGGAAGGTCTGGTGACCCAGCGGTGAGTATAGGTGAGTCAGAAAAAGAAGAGCGAATATCATCAGCCTTTTTTTCAAAGTGGGTAACAAAGTCGCTTGACAGAAGTGAGGAGGGGGGGAGGGGCTTTTGGAGGGTCCAAGAGGGTGGAGAAGATGGAAAATAGTTTTTTAGGATTGGAATAGGAAGATTGGATCTTATCTTGAAAGAAAGTGCTTTTTGCCTGAGAGATCGAAGCAGAGAAAGAGGAGAGGAGAGCCTGATAGGTTAGGAGGTCGTCACGGTGTTTGGATTTCCACCGTTTCTGCTCTGCTGCCCTAAGGACGGTTCTATTAGCACGCAGTGCATCATTCAGCCAGGGAGCAGGAGGGGACTGACGAGCCTGCCGAGATGTGAGAGGACAGAGAGAGTCCAGAGAGGATGAGAGAGTAGAGAGGAGAGTTTCTGCAGCAGAGTTTGGTGGCAGGAGTTGGAACGAGTCAGAGGAATGGAGGGCTGAGAGCACCGACGAGGCAAAGGTAGAGGGGG